ATTTATATACATAACAGATACACATAATATGCAGGTTAGGGATCCAATCCCTACATCATAACTGTACAACCAAGTCTTAAACATTTAATACATAATAGAGACAAAAGGGTGAATCTGAAACACCCCCAAAACAGCCTTGGCTCAAGCAGACTCGGAATCTCGAAGTGAGGCACAACGGTTGGCCGAACAAAACATGAGCTTAACTCGATGCTCCTAGCTTTGATCCAATGCCTGGCCACCTACATGCATACATAAACTGTGAGCTAAAGCCCAATGAATAACAAATGCGTAAAGGGGTTAAGAATGAATGTCCTTTCAGTAATTAAAACAGTCAATTGCATCTATAGATCAGTTATTCAATCAGTGACTCATAGTTCATGCCATAACAGTCGTTTAGAAACCATAGCAGTTTTACATCGTATATCCAATAGTAGAATAGTACAGTAGGTCTTAATAGACTGAACAATCAGTTGATGGTCATTGGAACAGTAAACAGTATTGGTTCCAAACATTGAAACTAACAGAGATCTCTATAACAGTAGCAGTAACAGTAACAGTAACAGTACAGTAGCAGTAACAGTAACAGTAATAGTAAGTTGTCATGGATGCCACGAGTACAGTTCATAAAATAGGACAAATATTCATTCAGTAAACAATGTCACTTCAGAAAGCAGTACTGTAGCTCGGCTTTTCGCGCTCCCTTTCGGAAGAATGAATAGCCTTTACAGTTCAGACTCCACTTGTGTGTTGATTTTGATTCTGATTTCACAAGTGCAATGTGAAACAGTGGAAACACAAAAAGAGTCCAAAATCGGCAATTTCTTTTGGAAAATTGATGTTTGAATCAAATGCAAAAAATAGACTGCTTTGCCAGATATCAGAGTCGCCACCTAAATATTTATTTTTGGGAAATTTAGGAAACCCATGACTCGTGCCAAAGGCCATTAGTTCGTCGTTACCAAAGTGTCTTGGTTCGGGAACTTAGGTATGAGAGGGGAAAGTCAATAATTGAACACCCCACTCACTCGATCAAAGATCGGCCTCTACTAATCATGATGTGATTTTTATGTACAGTATATGTTCTTATTCTGATTATTTAATAAATCTTAAAATTTATTATGTGAAGCATACAAGGTATAGACTAGTTTGCTCAAATTGGAACAATTCAATTTCATTTTTGTTTCTCGAAAAGGGTTTGAATTTGCCACCTCAAGTGTGCTTAATTTGCCACTTAACAAAGTGGGCTTAAAGTTCGTGAATTTGCCACTACAAAGTGGGCTTAAAACGTACATTCGTTGAATCATTCCAATTCAAGCAACAAGCCTTTATCCACAGACATTCAAACAGTCTATCATTTAAGCAATTAGCCTCATGGTAGCATGCTAAACATAATAAGAAAATTATGTACAAGCGGGATGTTAAAGCATAACAACTCAAATATTTACCGACGTCCCGCGAACAAGCTACAAAACAAAGTTAGAAAATATGCATGATTCCTAACTGTACAATATGACAAATGCAACACATGTGATATGCAATTACTAGGCTCGGCTACTAATATGGCATATGAAATGATTTGATCGCATGCGGTCTAAGCATGTATTCAAAGAAGTATTTAAACGACAATGCGAATTAGAATGATGCGCCGGGCCTTGGTGCATGCAATAAGAGTGGATGCAAACATGAGTATGTTAAATGAAACATGATGTCCCTAATCTAACCATCATAAGCTGGTAAATAAAAGAGAGAAAGACATGGGGTTGGAAAACATACACATTATTACAAGTTTGTTTGCCCTCGTGCAGGAGGGTCCGAATGTCCAAGTGTCCAAACAAATAATTATTACAAAGCCGAATGAATAATAAATGAAAGGGGCTGTCTAATTTATTACAACAAAAATTTATGTAAAATTACAAAAATACTAAACTAATGAAATATTTAGTATTTTAAAACAATTTAGCCATCATGGTGAATGTTGGAATTAAAGTTCAAATTCCATCTCTCTTACTGAGGATTCTGTGAGAAACACATTTGTGCAAAAGTGATATTTACATCCACTAAGTCCAAAATGCAATAAAGAGAAACAAGCATCAACTTAACCCGAGAAAATTTTCTTCGGGGGAAATTACAAAGGAAAAGTCAAAGTTATTTACAAGCGATAAGGGATTCCAAGTCAAACTCAAGATGTGCAACAAGGACTAGTCAAACTCAAAAGAGTGATAATGACTTAGAAAAACCCAAACTTGAGTGATAATGACTTGAAATCCAAACTTGATAATAAGTGATAATGACACTTTCCTTGGTGATTTCCAAGGGTCAATTAGTCCCTTAAAAGTAAACACACTGATGAATAAAGAGAAATGAAAAATAAAAGATTGTGCTTTAGTATAAGAACATGTATACATTTGGGGTAGTGAACCTCCAAAGAATTTAAACCGTTAAGTATAGAACGTTTTATGCTTTTTGTAGTAAATCCCCTAAAAGATTAAATCAGTAAGCATAGAACGTTGTATACTTTTGGTAATAAACCTCTTAAGCATAAAACGTTTTATGCCTTTGATAATGAATCTCCAAAGAGATTAAACCATTAAGCATAGAGCGTTTTACACCTTTGATAATGAACCTCCTAAGTATAAAACGTTTTATGCCTTTGGTAGTGAATCTCCAAAGAGATTAAACTATTAAGCATAGAGCGTTTTATACTTTTGGTAATGAACCTCTGAAGAGATTAAGCCATTGAGCATGGAAGAGTTCATTTCTTATATTTGAACCACAATCTTAATTTTTCACAACTTTTTAATCGAAATAAGTAAAGAATGGAGGGAGGTTGCAGAGATGATTATGCGAAATTGATTAATTGGTTAGTACAAACAAACTTGATATTTAAAATATAAATCATTGAAATAAATTAAACGGCCCCCTAAATAGCGTATAATAGTACTGAAATTAAGCTACAGAAAGTGAGTAAAATTAAATAACTGGAGGTACTATTCATCGTCGGGGTTACTATTCACTGCCGGAAGTACTATTCACTGCCGGAGGTTACTATTCATCCGGTGGGGTAGATTATTTAAAGTAATAAATTACATCAGTTTATATACAATATTTAAATTACAGCAGATATGTGGGTGGTGCAGCCATCCCATTAAAGCGATAAAAAAACAGTTATGAAAAGAAGTAAATGAAGTATTTAAACAAATTATATCACATTTTAAAATTAAATAAAAATTTGCGAAAACTCACCTTTTGGGGAAATGATGAATTTTCTGAGTCACAAACTTTTTTTTGATTACTTTCAAATTTGTGGAATGTGTTCTCCATTCTCAGACCAAAATTTGGAATTATAACTTTAGTGGTTGGTTTTTTAAATGGTGTATTGATGAAATGGAAATAAAAATATCAAAGACAATATTTTATTTTCCCTCCTCTCTTTTTTTTCTTTCTCCCCAGACTCTCATTTCTTTTTTTCTTCCCTTCTACCCAGATTTTCCTTTGTCTCCTTTTTTCTTTCCTCTCCTCCAGAATCCCCTCCTGCTGGCCTTGATTGCCATTGCCTTATATTGGCATAATCATATAATAGTAATAATAATAATAATATAACAATAATAATATAATAATATAAATATATATGCATATTGCCTGAATTTGTTTCTTCATTATGTCATTCATCTTCGACTCTAACTTCATTTGACACCATTTGTAGACACCTCATTTTTGACCGCCCTTAAGAGTTGGGCGCTTTATTCTGAGCACTCGATGACGAAAGTTACACTATGCAATCTTTTGAATTCTCAGTGAAGAAATTTGGATTCAACCCCTAATCACAAACCTTGCACCCCATTTTGGCCAGACTATTTTAGACCTTAAAACCCTCCTTTCAAAATATTTTTTCAAATGTTCTATAATGTTCCGAGGCTCGCATTTTGTTTAAAACATTGCATTGTTTTGGTAAACCGAGTAAAGACAAAGTAGAAATAAATCGAAGGGAGGTGAACTCTTTGAAAAATATTTAAAAAATCTTATTTATAGGTTTGGAGTTGAAGGGAATAAGAGGGGAGGGAAGAAAACTAGTTGGGGGAAGAGGTTGAGCAACAAACCGTTGAGAAAGAATGAGAAACCTTTACTAAATTAGGAATATCTCTTCTCACACTTATAATTTAGATGTGATGCCACCACCATTGGAGGGTAAACTTTTGGGGCTTCAATTTAGACTCAAGAATCACCAGGATGGTGTAATGGATGAAGGAGTCTCTCTTCTTATTCAATGGAAATGTTAAAACACTCATTTTATTTTGACTATATAAAGCAACCAATCATCAAAACAGAGATAACCTATTTGCCTAAAAACTTAAGGAGTAGCTATATTGATCTTGATCATTTGCAGAGGCAATTGCCATTTTTGTAACAAAGCTTTTATGCAATCCATTTTGACCCTAAACCCTTTTAACATAACATAACATAACATAGCAAAGTCCCAAGAAAATAAATAGAAGTAATTCAATTTCATCTTCCACATGAGAAATCAAACCTAACAATTTCCAAATGCATCAGAATTCACAACTGATTTAAATCCATAGCTTTAAACAACATTGAGTTAAAATTTCCATGAATCAAAGCAACAACTCTGTGAAGCTAACCGTATTTTCTGCTGATTGATGCGTAAGTCTCTTAGACAGGTTTCGCCAACTGCAAAAGAGTACCAAAAACTCTGTGAAGCAACAACTCTGTTTGGAAGTTGAGAAAGTGACGAATAGATGAATTTGTAAACACACACAGAACAAGAGAGAAAGAGAGAATGAGAGAACGAGATAGAGAAACTCACCACGCCGGAGAACCACCGTGGTAACGCCGACGGAGATTGCCGTCGCTAGATCGTTGCCTTTGCAAAACCTATGGAGATTGTTGCCTTCGCTGCTATGTGAGAATGAGAATGAGAAACCGTGAGAGTGAGATTTAGAAAGAGAACCCTAACTTGTGGGGATATGGGCGGGTACCCATTCCCGGAGTTCTGTGAATTAAATCAATCATTCATTAGAATCAAGCTACAACTATGAAACTTCTTTGGGCTATATGCAAAAAGTCAAATATCCTATGGGTAAAGTGGATTCACACATATATTATCAAATCTAGATGCTTCAGGACTATGCAAGTCCCTTCTAATGTGTCTTTGACAGTGAGGAAACTTTTCAGTTTAAGAAGAGAAGCTATACCCCTAATTAAGAAAGTAATTGGCAATGGAGAATCCACCTTCCTTTGGCTTGAGAATTGGCACTCTTTGGGACCACTGTACCTGAGAGAAAAGCAAGATTGAGAGAAAAATATATACATGATGTTGTTTCTAAAGTTATAGCTCATTTCTCCAGACTTCCTATATTCTTTAATGTCTTTCCATTAACAATAGAGTGATGAAAATATGTCTGGCATACTGGTGTATTAAGTCAAAGTCAGATTGCCTATTCATTGTAAAGTACATTTTCAAATGTTTAGAAGCCAATTTCAGATTAGGAACTTACACAATAAAATATCGCTAGCAATAACCAGATCCCAATCCATCAAACAATTGAGCAACTTTAAAAGACATACAAACGAGGGATCTACTATACCTATCATGTCATATTGTTCATTCCCTAAGTCTAATTTTACAATGAAAAATAAAAAAAGAAATTCCACCAATCATGAGAATGAAGGTCAAAAGCATCAAATCTTATTGATAGTCCTCACCAATATTTTCTTGGATCTATCTTCCTTATCGTATGAAAGAGAAAAAGAACTCACGCTTAATGTGAGGAAGGACGGGAGAAATTCCATTAACTCTACAATTATGAGCTATGTTCTCTGCAATTTCTTGATCATCATAGTCTGAGGTAGTGATGTCAAATTCCCTCTTTACTTTGTTTATTTGTGTCTTCACACCATTATGTCCATTAATTCCAATCACTTTACCTTACTAAAAGAGATGTCGGTGTAATTACACTAAAATTATGGGGCTTATTATTTCTTTTCTTTCATTATTTTATTTTATTTTTTCAGATCTTAGGAGAATGGCCTAGGAAAACATAAAGCCTTAAACAATAGCTTTCCTGTCTTGTGCTTTTGCTGCTTTTAATATTGAATCAAGAGCTTGAATTGTTAACTTTTGGGGATTCATGGATGAGGGCAAAGATGGTGCATCACTATGTCGGAACATGGATCTCTCTTTTCTGAGGACATTTGCAAACCATGGTTCAGGTACAGTTAAGCTAAAGAAAAGAGTTGTGGCTCTGTTTTATGATTTAGTAGTAACTCAGCTGAGCTAGTTTCAAGATGGAAATCTAATCAATTACCATAGAAGACAGTGAACAAGACCCAAGGAGAAAAAGATGATGTCTCTGAAGAAAACCCATTTGCAATTGAAATCGAATTACAGAGTCTGAATCTGACCCAGAAACTATAGTCTTGTATATTACTAACAAGAGGGGGCAAAAATGGTAGAACCTTCCTCAGAATATATTCCAATTTCTTTAAAGTAATATATATATAAACATATTTCAGATCTTGTGTTGCTTTCACAGTTGGTGCTCGACTTGTTTGGTGTACCCTTCTCCATTATTATTATATATAAACATAAGGAGTAGCTATATTGATCTTGATCATTTGTAGAGGGAATTGGCATTTTTGTAACAAAGCTTTTATGCAATCCATTTTGACCCTAAACCCTTTTAACATAACATAACATAGCAAAGTCCCAAGAAAATAAATAGACAGTAAATCAATTCCATCTTCCACATGAGAAATCAAAGCCAACAATTTCCAAATGCATCAGAATTCACAACTGATTTAAATCCATAGCTTTAAACAACATTGAGTTAAAATTTCCATGAATCAAAGCAACAACTCTGTGAAGCTAACCGTATTTTCTGCTGATTGATGCGTAAGTCTCTTCGACAGGTTTCGCTAATTGCAAAAGAGTGCCAACAACTCTGTGAAGCAACAACTCTGTGAAGTAACAACTCTGTTTGGAAGTTGAGAAAGTGACGAATAGATGAATTTGTAAACACACACAGAACAAGAGAGAAAGAGAGAAAGAGAGAACGAGATAGAGAAACTCACCACGCCGGAGAACCACCGTGCTAACGCCGACGGAGATCGCCGGCGCTAGATCGTTGTCTTTGGAAAACCTATGGAGATCGTTGCCTTCGCTGCTATGTGAGAATGAGAGTGAAAGTGAGAATGAGAATGAGAAACCATGAAACTGAGAGAATGAGAACCCTAACATATAGGGAAATGGGCGGGTACCCATTCCCGACCCATATCCTATGAATAGTTAAAAAAACCCACTTGATTAATCCTATGGGTAAAAAAATGGGGAAAAATCCATATATTTGGATTGGATATCCATGGATACCCATAGGGTAGGATCCCCATTGCCATCCCTAACTGTAACAACCAAACAAGTCAAATATATGAAGTATTCACATTCTAACAACTAAATGAATCAATGTTTCCTTTTTATTACACTGTAACAAACAAACAAGCAAGCAAAATGTTTTCATTTCTTCCAGATCTGTTGATTAGTGTAATAAACAAACAAGCAAAATGTTTGCTTTTCTTCCAGATCTGTTGATTATTGCAGAGGCAAGTCATCAATGTTTTTATCAACTATTTATTGTTGAGCAGTTTGTTGGTCAGTTAAGAAGATAGTTAATATATCGGCTCTCAATTGATTGCATTCTTCTTTGGAAAAAGTAGACATTATGTTGTTGTTGGAAACATATTGCCTCATGATATAGCAAACAATGATTCCACAATCAAGCCTACAAAAAAATTTTGAAAACAAAATATTATAATTTGGTTTCGTTGCATTTTTTTTTATAGGAGTGTTTTGTTATTGATCAACTTACGAAGTGTCTTCTTATTGTGGGCTGTTAATAACTCTCTCTGAATTAGGCAAATTAAGCAAATCTATCATTGTTATAACAATTTTTATCACTGAATTAGGCAGAGTAAGGAAATTCGTCATTGTATAGAAAATGTTATCACTCAATTAGGAAAATTAAGCAAATCTATCATTCTTATTGCAAATTTTATCACTGAATTAAGCAAAGTAAGCAAATCTGTCATTGTATAACAAATTTTATCACTGAATTAGCAAAAGTAAACCAATCCATCATTGTATAGCAAATGAACATGAAGATATGATTATTATGAAGTTGAGTATCACTAATAAATTAATATTGTATGATACATATTGAAAATAGTTTCAAGTTGAATTTTATCACTTAATTATAGTTATGAAAGAAGAATGGAATCAAATCCATCATTATAACAAATTTTATCACTCAATTAAAAAAATTAAGCAAATCTATCATTCTTATAGCAAATTTTCTCACTGAATTGGGTAAAATAAGCAAATCTGTTATTGTATAGCAAATGAACATGAAGATGTAATTATTATGATGTTGAATATCACTTAATTATAGTTATAAAAAAAGAACGGAAGATGAATACGACTCACATTTGATTCGCATGTTTGTTGAAGAAGAAGGGAAGCAAATCCATCATTATAACAACTTTTATCACTCAATTAGGAAAATTAAGCAAATCTATCATTCTTATAGCAAATCTTCTCACTGATTTGGGCAAAGTAAGCAAATTTGGCATTGTATAGCAAATTTTGTCACTGGATTAGCAAAAGTAAGCAAATCTATCATTGTATAGGAAATGAACATGAAGATGTGATTATTATGAAGTTGAATATCGCTCATAAATTAATACTGTATGGTACAAATTGAAAATAGCTTCAAGTTGAATTGTATCACTCAATTATAGTGATGAGAGAAGAAGTGAGGCAAATCTATCATTATAACAAATTTTATCACTCAATTAGGAAAATTAAGCAAATCTATTATTCTTATAGCAAATTTTATCAATGAATTGGGCAAAGTAAGCAAATCTGTCATTGTATATCAATTTTTATCTCTGAATTAGCAAAAGTAAGCAAATCCATCATTGTATAGCAAATGAACATAAATATGTGATTATTATGAACTTGAATATCACTCATAAATTAATACTGTATAATACACATTGAAAATAGTTTCAAGTCAAATTTTATTACACAATTATAGTTGTGAAAGAAGAAGGGAAGCAAATCCATAGTTATGAAATAAGAAGAGAAGCAAATCCATCATTATAACAAATTTTATCACTCAATTAGGAAAATTAAGCAAACCTATCATTCTTATAGCAAATTTTCTCACTGAATTGGGCAAAGTAAGCAAATATGTTATTGTATATCAAATTTTATCACTGAATTAGCAAAAGTAAGCAAATTCATCATTGTATAGCAAATGAACATGAAGATGTGATTATTATGAAGTTGAATATCAATCATAAATTAATACTGCATGATACACATTGAAAATAGCTTCAAGTCGAATTTTATAACTCAATTATAGTTATGAAAGAAGAAGGGAATCAAATCCATCATTATAACAAATTTCATCACTCAATTAAGAAAATTAAACAATTCTACCATTCTTATAGCAAATTTTCTCACTGAATTGGGCAAAATAAGCAAATCTGTTATTGTATAGCAAATGAATATGAAGATGTGATTATTATGAAGTTGAATATCACTTAAGTATAATTATAAAAGAAGAACAGAAGATGAATACGACTCACGTTTGATTCGTATGTTTGTTGAAAACGAACTAAACAGGGAATATAGATCGAAACGGTGGAAGATTTGCTGGGTATCTGTTCCGAATCAGAATATAGATCGAAACAGAGGTGATTTCTTTAGAAATGATGAGAGATTCAGGAAAAATCTCTTTGTTTGTTTCGATTTCCAAATCACAAATCGCCTCAGAATAATTTTCAAATTAGAACAATTGAGAAGGAGCGTGTGTGTTACACGCACAGGGTAGAGCTCGTGATATCTTCTTTGTTTCACACATGTGGTGTGACATTGAGGGGTAAAATTGGAAACTGAAATAGGACAGGACTTGGTGGGTATTAATTTGTTTCAATGGGACCGGCTGGTAAGTCCCCCTAAGAGAAAATGTGTCATTCAAAGTAGGCCTAGCCCGACATCGGATCTAATTTAACCATCCCAAGCCCGATTCTAAAAAGTTATTAAGTCTCAAACCTGTCCAATAAACCCAATAAATATGAACAATTACTCTCTTTTTTTTCCATCTTGAATAAATATTAAAATATTTGAATTATTTTATTTATTATTTGAATTTGAAATGTTAACAAAATTTAATGGTGAAACAAATTTAATTTTTAACAAATATTTTAATTTAAGCCATAGAAATAAATATATATATACTTTTTTTGTCTTTTATATTTTTTCTACTTTATTTTATAACTAAAATAATAGAAAAACATAATTAATATTTTATAAATGGCCGGGCCGAGCTAAAACTCTTTACCCCAAGTCCAGCCCAAATATTAAATGGGAACAAAACTTTAGCCCAGCCCAACTATATGGGTAAAACATTTTTTTCAAATCCCAAACATATCAGATTGGACTGGCGCAATTTGGGGGACCAGTGGGTAGATGACCACCCTTAGTGGCCTCTCATCCGTCATTCATCCAAACTTAGACAGATTGGAAAAATTGTATTTTGCATCGTCAGCTCAGACCATTAAAATAGTCCATTATATAGTGGAATAGTTCGAGCCATTCAATTTTAGTGAATCAGGTGGATGCTTACCCACTCCTAGTTCAAATGTAAAGTTCTAATGTGAAATTCTATAATTGGGTGTGTAACAAAGTTTTGGTCGTTGATTTGTCACAAAATTCTATTATGACATTGTGGTATTTAATTATGATTTATTATGGTGTTTTATTGTGAGATTAGTTATGACTTGATGCGATTATTATTTTAGTTATCACTAAAAAGGCATTTAGTTATATTGTATGACTCATTATTTTTTTCAGTTTTAACTAAAAAAAATTTAATTATTATATTTATAATAATGACCACTACAAATATTATAACTTGTATATACACTACAGGAAATGTTTGTTATGACGGTGTTTATATAAGGGCGTTTTCTTAAGCGTCGTCTTTTTTAATATTTAGCGGCGTTTTATAAACGTCGCCTTTTGTGCTACTCAAAACGACACCGTTTAGTTGATAGAAAACGCCTCCGAATGTGTTATAATCTCTCACACCCTCTCTCTCCCTCTTGAGACTCTCATTCTTTACTCTTCAGTCTCAGAAAGAAGATGCCTCAAAACAGATACAGATATTAGACAAAGAATAGAGGTAATCCCTTAAATCTCATAGTGATTTCAGAATGGGAATCGATCGGAATCATCTTGGTGATTTAATTTGTTTACCTATTCCATTTAAATCTCACACCGATTTCATTTTTTTTCTCTCGCTCATTTTCACTCTTCTCTGTCACCAGACTCATCTCTCTCTCTCTCTCCTCTGCCGATCTCATCCACACTCACCGCCGCTGCTGTCTTCTCATTATCGCCTCAGATCGACAGCTACAGTGGTGGAAGAGGATGGCGGTGGTGGTGCTCGTTGAAGAAAAGAACAAGAGACGAGATCTGAAGGATTTCGAACTAATTAAAGCCAGATCTGAAGGTTTCAAAGAACACCTGATCCAAATATGGGGGTTTCGAATCAGATATATTGGTAAGCTCCTTCGAATCCTTCCGTTTTCAGTAAAAACCTCTTTTCATCAACTTCTGTATATGTTTGTGTATGTGTGTGTGAGAAAGTGTTGAAGAAGAGGCTGTAGTGTTCTTGATTTTCCCCCTTTGTTTCTTGAATTCTATAAATCTCACCAACAACAATGGTCAAGTTTTATGTTTCTGTTCTCTCTCTCTCTCTCTATATATATATATATGAATATCCACATATCCAAGATTTGTATATTTATATATTTGTTGTTTGTTGTTGTTTCAG